ACCAGTCAGTGTCCCTGTTCACCGCCATGCCAGTTATATGATGACGCTGTACTGCACTGGTGACAGTATGTAAAAAAAAAAAATTGTGAAAAATAATTTTTTACATTTTTTTCATTTTCCGAAAAATTATGACAAAAAAATACAACTTCAAAAAACTCGCCATGCCTCTTATGAAGTACGTCGGACTGTCTACTCTGCAAAAAGGGGTCATTTGGGGATATCTGTACTATTCTGACATTCTTGGACCTCAAGAAATTAGATTGGCTGTCAGTACTTCAGGATTGATCAATATTCAGATCTATACCATAGTTTGTGAACTCTATAACTTTCCTACAAACTAAAAAATACAACCTAATTTGGGTTATTTTCACCAAAGACATGTAGCAGAATACATCTCGGCCTAAATTTATGAAGAACAATTATTTATTTGTAAACTTTTATAACAGAAACAAAGAAAAATGTGGGTTTTTTTTTTTTTTTTTTTTAAAACATTTTTGGTCTTTTTTTGTTAATTTAGCAAAAAATAAAAACCCCAGCGGTGATTAAATACCACCAAAAGAAAGCTCTAGTTGTGTGAAGAAAATGATAAAATTTTAGTTTGGGTACAGTGTTGTATGACCGCGCAATTGTCATTCAAAGTGTGAGAGCGCTGAAACCTGAAAAATGGCCTGGGCAGGAAGGTGTAAAATTGCCGGTATTGAAACGGTTAAATATTTAATTACTGGTTTAATAATTTTTATTTTTGTATACCAATATTTTCACCATTTCCTACTTCCTCTGAGGGTGTCACCCTCAGAGGAAGTGTGATATGACGAAACGTGTCAGGGCGTTACCATCCGTGATGTCAACACACACAACGGGACCACAAGGTGAGAGCACGTGATCATTGTTTCAAGATCTTAGTTACCAGTGTGTGGTGAGACTGTCACTAGTTGCTGTGGTTGGTGGCCATTTTATTGGAAGTATATATACAATGTGCATTACCATGTTGCTCAATGTGAGTGCTTTTCTTAAGGGGGGTTTTCTATGGCAATAAATGATTGTTTTTACGGTATCACGCTATGTGGCTGTTTTATTTGCCCACATATGGAATTGATATTACCCAATCTGAATGAGGAGGAGATCGGAGTATGAGATACTAACAATCGATTGATTGGAGGTTCTTTTGGGCTGCTGGCTGATTATGAAGTTCGAGATTTCACAACCATTCATTATTAAGGAGATTGATTGAATTCCTACTAATTTTCCACTGCTGGTTACTCACCAGCTTCTGGTGAGTGTTGAATACAATGGGGTGTTAATCACTGCAGGATCACATGGATGGTGGATCACTTTACCTTAAAGAGACACTTAACACTGGAATGAATTAAGCTTTTCACATTATAAATTTTTATTTTATACATTTTTTTTGTTTTTGGTGGAAGTTTTTTTTTCTTTCCTTTATCCTTTTATATCAATTGGACATTGTGTTTTGACATAGCGCTGTTTATGTGTACTTGTTTTAGTCATTGTTTTATAGATTTTTTTCTTTTGTTATTTAAAACTGCAGCTTGGTTTAAATATTTAATCACTAGTTTAATAATTTTTATTTTATTTTTGTATACCAATATTTTCACCATTTCTTGAGCGGGGTAATATAGGCTGGTTTCATCCTATATATTTTTAATTTATACCCAATGTTTGTGAACATAGAAAAGATGGAGTTGCGTAGAGTAAATAGATACCAAACACGTCAAAATTTAAAATTGAGCAAGCGCAAGGAATTGCAATGGTACCCAAAATTCTCCATTGGCAATGCTTTAAAAGCATTTATAGGTCATGACTTTAGAGTTAACCATGAACTATGACCCTAGAATTATTGCTCTCACTCTGATGTTTGCAACAATATTTGACATTTGTGGCGCAATTGATGTTTATATACGTGCTCACTCTACGCTGCACTTTTTAGGTGGGGGGTGCTTTTTTTAATTTAATTTTTTTTTTTCTTTAAGCTTTATTGCTATCACAAGGGAGCTAACAAGTCCCATATGTGATAGCATGGGCAGGTGACAGATACTCTTTATATAGTCATTGGGGTTTTATTAGACCTCCACTGTCTCCCCTGCCTTCCAATACCTTTATTCCAGCACAGATTATGCTGGAATAGTTGTATCTTTGGCTGAGGAATGACAGTTGTGACCCTGGAAGTGACATAATACACTGCAGGTTCCCCAGGCTAGGTGGGGAGCACCCCGTGCATCCCAATCACTTTTATGGAAAAGCCCTTTGCTGGCTCAGCTGTGAGCTTGAGTTAACCATTTGTCTAGCATGCTTTTTATCAACGTACTTCGGTAGACAAGTGGTTAAAACAAATCCCCTGTCTTTTGTGTCCATATGTTTCTATGAACACAAGGATTGATCATGTCTTCAGAACCTAGAATCCTTAGGTCTTGTCAGTAGCCTCAGGGCTTGTATATACAGGCATAAACTTCTGAGTTGCTTTCCTTCCCCATATAAGTTAAAGCTAAACTCTGGAAATTGGGCAAACTCTGTCTTTGCAGTGCCCCCCCCCCCCCTACAAGGGTTAATTGTGCCCTTTCTCTAGGGGTGGGATAAAATGTGTTATTGCCCTATCATTGTCTCCAGCGCTCCCTGCTGCTGTGGATGGTCCCCGGCATCATGCGTACAGTGCAAGGCTTTTAACCCTCGTTGTACATGAAGCGAGGTTGCAGTCGGGGCCCAAAGTGCTTTAGAGATGAAGGGAGCTGCTGGAGACAGAAATACGAAAAGTATTATACCTAATACCTGTACCCTTAGGCTGGACATACATTATGCAACCTATGATTGAAGGAAAGAAAATAGATCAATTCCCCAATCAAGACAGTCATTGTTGATGGGGGAATCCCTCCCGCTGTGCCATTGTATTTTGACAGCAGGAGGTTTCCCCACTGTCAGAATACAATGATTGCTGCCGGCGTCTATACCAATGATGGTGGCTATAGGCAGTGATACTTTCCAACGCTCTTACCTGGGTTTTGTTACAGACCACATGACACCATCCAATCTACCAATAAGTGTATGATGTCAAGGCAGTAAAAAGGGGTGCGCCCTCTACAAAAGGGGCACAGATGTGGTCGCAGCTGCTAACACCTCCTATGTCAATGCTTTTTACTAGTAGGCCCCCTTTACCATTAGGCCTCTGCTATTCTAGCCTTATGGCAGTCTGTTTTTGTGACCTGTAATTTCACAAAAGTGGACTACAATGTATTCGCATGGGTGGGTGGGTCCGCCTTTATACCACCCACATCAGTTTGTCTGACCAAATGCAATATGTTTGCACCCAGATCCGGCTTTTATTGACTTGGCTGGATGTGAGTGGATATACGTGGATGCATGTCTGCTTACATCCAGCCACCCTTATGGATTCCATCATTAGATGAAGGAAAGATCCGAAAAGGGCATGGATGTCACATATAATATATCTGTTTCCATTCTGATCCAATTTAGCAGGGGATCAGTCTAGTATCTCCTGCTGAGATGGGACGGAGGGTACCATAAAGAAGATGCAAACCCCAAAATCTACTAAATCGCATACAGTATATCTTTAAACCTGTTGATGTAATTTTCACTTTATTTATAATCGCAGCTTTCATTAAAATAATAACAATTGATCCTGCCATGAATTTCCTTATTCAGTGACATCCTGGTATAGGGAGACAATGCTCTGTCTCTGTGTCCCAATTGTCCTCTTGCATTGTCACCCGCTCACATGCACTTCCATTAGAGACTTAGCGGTTGTGTCATTACACAAGCCTCTTCCACCGTTGCCACCATCAGAAAGCCGAAAAAGTGAAAAAAGTATTTTCTAAGGGAAAAAAGGCAATTGGTTACAAAATACATTGCTTTAACAAACTAAATTGTCATCCATTTGGGGATTTAGATCTAATTTAGCTGCTAGCCCCGTCACATTTTTCAGTTACAAGTATCCAGAACAACAGAGCAAACAGTCTTGGTACAAACACTTTCCTAATACTTTTCTATATATTGTTTTCTTTCTATCATTTTACCTTTATTAAAACTCCTGTATTTCAGTATTGAGATAATACCAATGAAAAATCCAGCTTCTCATAGCCAGACATCTTAGATTTTTTTCTGTCAGTGTTCTTGTAGCAGATTTTTCTTCATTTCTGTTTGTGAGGGGGTAGCACTAAAAACACGGGTTCTAATCCTTCCCCTTTATATCTAAAGGAAAAGAAACATTTTTGGATTAACATGTACTGTAATGTATAATAATGAATTCCCAGAGCCCCATGGCTAGCTAAAGTGGGCACAGCAATAGTTTGCTCCTTTCAGGCAGACTGTCTCTTAGGCCTCGTTTACACTTGCTTTGCTCTCTGAAGAGCAATCTGCATTCAAAGAGTATTGAACAGGTGGTGAGGAGGCGTTGTATAGCCCCCTTAGAGCCTGTTTTAAGCCCTAAATCCCAGACTATTGTGGCCAACTGCGATCAATGAGTTGTGTTTGGTGGGAGATAGTGCCCACTGAGCATCACAGGGTTACAATTATTGCCACAGCATATGTACACCCACGGCCACTGCCTTTCCAGCTAAATGGGGAGCCGTTTAGAAGTGGTAAAAACATCACTCAACCACAGGGTTTTACTCCCAACCCCACCCCCCCAAAACTGTATTTACTGCATAAATGAGCCCTTACTGAAACCTCAGACTAAGCCTTCAGGAAGGAGTGAGTGGGAGGAGTCAATGCACAGACTTCATTTGTTTGTGAAAATTTCAGCTTGAGCTACAGAGCTATGTTAACCATGGTTTCTTACAATAATAGATGGGTATAGCCTGGAAAACATGTGGAAAGGAAGAGGTTGCATCAGCTTGCTCTGGAGAATACGAAACATTAATTTGCAATATTATTCTTTATATGGCTGTTTTATTCATTATAATTATTTTATACAGGAAAAGAAATAGACATCATAGAATATAATAGCATCTTTCTTTTGTGTTCTACAGGGTGATTTAGCCAAGAAGAAGATCTATCCAACCTTGTGGTAAGGGGAGCAACATTTTTTCAGATTTTAGTATTTTTCTGTTTATAAAGCAGTCCGTCTATTTCATCTTTTCTTGTCATTTTTATTTACATAATGAGAACTTTGACAGTAAACATACAGTTCTATCCATCCAGCATCTTCTCCCCACTGGCCTTCTGAGTTGCCTCTGGCTTCTGGCTGCAGGGTAAAGCCACAGGTTCACTTTAAAGTGGAAATAAACTTTCTAAACTGTCCCCAAATAAACATTCAGTATACACACAAGATATCAATACTTGTATGCATATCTAAAGCTCTCCTATGTAGATATTTCTTTATTATTTTGGCAGCTGACATAACGCTTCCCGTGTTTTGTGCATCCTTGCCATGTCCGCATTTTCACCGAACTTTGCTGGGATGACATCAGCTGGACATCAGCGCTCACTCTTGAGTGATGAACAGTTTGTTCCAACAAGGCTTAGCTCCATTCTTTCATATATGCACAGGATTTTTAGATGACATTTGTTGTGGGTTGAAGTGTGGATGTAGGAAGAAGGCACTGGGACATATTCAAAATGGTACGGACTTAAGGAGGAGCAAGGCCAGTGTGGGCTATATCAGTAATATGGGTGAGATGGTTTGAGGGTTATTTGCTGGTAGACGGGAGAGTTTACTTCCACTTTAACTGCACCCCAATTAGCAGGGCTTCTACTCTCCTCGCTTTACTTCTCCCACTGTACCATTTGACCACCACAGATTCAAATTACATAGAGATTGTACAGCTTATGCATGGGCCTTGCACAGGAGATTTTGAGAAGGGACATGTGAGTAAAGGTCGGGGAGGGGGGCTGGGGGCAGGCCACGCTACAATAGAAGTGTAACTGTAACATATGTGGAACATGGGTATAGGCTAATACAATACTTATACATAATATATAATTACTATATATAATACATTTTGGCCTAAATTTAAAAAGAACAGGTATTTAATTGCAAAATTGTATACCCTAATAAAGGCCTATAAAGATTAATTTACTAGTCCAAAGCAATAATGATGTGTAAATTTCAGTAATCCATAACAACCAATCAGATCTCATCATTTTAAAGTAGTCATAACCATGGCTTATTGACTGCTGCAGGTTAATGCACATTTTTTTTGCCTTTAAACTAGATTGCATCTTATTGGAATATTACTTACTGTACAAGGCTGCAATACTAAGTACTACGCTATGGTGGATGGGCAGGGATCAGATATTCTGCTCTGTTACTGTATTACAGGTGGTTGTATAATGATGGACTACTGCCAGAAGATACTTATATTGTGGGTTTTGCCCGTTCAAAGCTCAGTGTACAGGACCTCAGGAAACAGAGTGAACCGTACTTTAAGGTAATGATTTCATGAAAGCTGAATAGGTTCAGAGTGGCATACATATCATAAATGTTAAACTTCATTTCCAAGTGAAATGGACGAATTATCATTGATATCATCAACAGGTGCAGTTTTAGAAGGAGCACCTATAACATCATCTCATGGTGCAATGGTTGTCTCTTCCAAGATATCACTACCTATAACACCATCCCAATGTCTTGGCATGGGCACCAAAAACAAAGAATCATTGTCTTGGTAGGGGCACCCATAGCAGCGTCTTGGTAGGGGCACCCATAGCAGCGTCTTGGTAGGGGCACCCATAGCAGCGTCTTGGTAGGGGCACCCATAGCAGCGTCTTGGTAGGGGCACCCATAGCAGCGTCTTGGTAGGGGCACCCATAGCAGCATGGTAGGGGCACCCATAGCAGCGTCTTGGTAGGGGCACCCATAGCAGCATCTAATCATTGTCTTGGTAGGAGCACCCATAGCACCATCTCATTATCTTGGTAGGGGGTATATATAGCACTATCTCATTATCTTGGTAGGGGTATATATAGCACCATCTCATTATCTTGAGTGAAGCACCCATAGCACCATCTCATTATCTTGGTAGGGGCACAATAGCACCATCTTATTATCTTTGTAGGGGCACCATAGCATCATCTCCTTATCTTGTAGGGGCATCCATAGCACCATCTCATTTTCTTGGAAGGGGCATATAGCACCATCTCCTTATCTTGAATGGGGCACCCATAGCACCATCTCATTATCTTGGTAGGGGCATATATAGCACCATCTCATTATCTTGAATGGGGCATCTCATTATATTAGTATACCAGCACCATCTTATTATCTTGGTCACCCATAGCATCATCTCCTTATCTTGAATGGGGCATCCATAGCACCATCTCATTTCTTGGAAGGGGAGCACCATCACATTATCTTGAATGGGGCACCCATAGCACCATTCATTTTCTTGGAAGGTGCACCCATAGCACTTCACATTATCTTGGACGAGGCACTTATAAGCACCACCTCATTATCTTGTGAAAAATGTTAGAAAAGGTTTTCAGACCTCTCTAATCAATTTGTGCCCCTCCATGAAGAGCAATTCAGGGATGTCTGTCAGAGGCATAGATATATCAGAAAACAAAAACCGCCACAATGGGATGATGATCATCTATTTACAATATTTAAGCAAAATGCAAGCATTGCAGAAACTGCAGATTACCCTTGGTGGACTGTGCATAACGCCATAGTCCTGTAGTGGCTGAAATTTTTTAGACTTAAATGTGAGATAGTGTAATATGTACTGAGAAAGCTAAAGTTTCCTTCTCTTTGGAGCAGGAAGTAAGGGCAAATGTTCCCAACAGGGACACAGATGGCCGTAAAAACCTGAGAATGGATTAAGCCATTACTCTTGATCTAAATCTGGAGAAAACAAAATCCTTATGAAGCCCTACTAAAGTAGACATAACAAAGAGGCCAACATGATCGGGGAAGCCTGAAACAGTGATGTTACTTGGCCTTGCTTGGTGTATAGGAAAACCCATCCCAGGGTTTTAATGCATGCTGTACACAAACCTGTGTGGAGAAAAATCTATACACTGCCAATGCCAACCCCCTCTCGAACAGGCTACTTGCCTTGCTTTTACAAACTTCTGTACTTTCCAAATACTGTCTGGGAACAAGCATGCAGCCAGTGAAATGATAGCACTTGATTTGCATACTTGTTCTGCATTAGTGACTTAGAAAGCAGCAAAGCCTTAGGATTAGTATGACTGCCTGACAGCTGATCAGCAATGAAAGCTTCCATACTTAGCAAAGGTTTCCTCTAAGTGTCTGTACTGCATCTTGAGTGGATATCATGTCAGGATATATTGATGCTGACACCATCACCACCATGTGGAATACTTCTGTCACTGCTTCTAAATGTCTGCCTTTTTTATTGTGCCATAGGCCTCAGCAAGTGATGCAGGGAAATTGGACTCCTTCTTCAAGAGGAATTCCTATGTATCTGGACAATACTCAAATGAAGCGTCTTTCAAAGCCCTTAACCAGCACTTAGAGTCACTGCCTAATGGGAGTAAAGCTAACCGCTTATTCTATCTGGCTGTGCCACCCAGCGTGTATCATGACGTCACTCGGAACATCAAGTTAACCTGCATGAGTGCAATGTAAGCACTTGATATTTGTGTTTTATGCATTATTGTTTATAGGACAAATCTTTATAATTGCTCACAAATTTGTTCCCAAACTATGCAGGCTGCTTTTTTTCTGCTTTAAAATAATAAACTCCATTTTAAAAAAGATGCTGTCAGGCAGGATTTTTGAGAAAGAAAAGACCCTGTTGGTCTCTTCTGTCATTAAATTCTTCCTTCTGTCTGTCAGCGGTAACAACAAACCATGCATGCATAGCTGAGAGTGCATTATGTCACCCCCTCTGTGCCATGATGAAGTGACTCCTATTCTCGTGTGTGGGAGTGATGTCACCGCACCCCGGTCATTCAAGCAGCTGAACAATGCAAACCCAGAAGGAAGATCGGGAGAAGATGAAGCGCCGAGCAGTGTCTGCACAGCACTGAAGGCTTCCCTTGACCGGTGCAGTGCATATTAGCACATTATGGCAAGAATCTCCTGGGTGCCCAATTAGAAAATCGTTTTTAGCTGAGTTTAATTATGCTTTAAGCTTGTTCTAGACAGGAAAAGGTCACATATGTGGGTATTTTGTCTGTCAAAAAATCTTTCATATCACATTTAGATCACCCAGGGCAGCATTAAAGGATAAGGTCACTTTCCATAACATGTTACACCCACATTCAGGGTGTAACATGTTATGAAAGCACAGCTCCCCGCCGGTCCCCTGCTTTGACAGCTACCACGGGATTGTCTCTTCCCCACTAGCTGTTAAATTTTTTAAAAAAAGCGTCCAGTGGGGTTCCACCCGCCTGGCTGTGTCACTCCCCTGTGAATGAGAAACTACAAGTCCCGACAGCCTTAGCGGCTGTCGGCTTGTAGCTCTCAATGAATTACCATGGTGCTGTGGAGCGCTGTGGTATTTCATTCACTCTTCCTGTCAATATATCTGCTTGCTTGTACATCCCATACGGGCAAGCAAATATACTGACGGATCTGCAGGAGTTTCTGCGTGGCACAGCGATTTCCTGATCACTGGTGCAATGCTTTCCAGGCTCCTGCAGCAAAAAATAATAAATGCACATTTTTTTTACTTGCAAAAAAATGTGCATTTATCATTTTTTATCAAAATGTGAACATTTCCTTTAAGGTTACATGGGACCCTTGGAAAGTAAAAACCCCCATCTTTCTCATTCCTGATTAACAACTTAAAGTCTAACTCCAGCCCCCCCAAAGAAACAAAACCTGCACTACAAGGCTCAAATACATCCAGGGGTGTCAGAATAATGAGAAATAATTACCTTATTTCATGCTTCAGCCTCCTCTGCTTCCTCCTCTTTAAGCCATTAACGGCCAGGGTCACGTGCTCACCCCTACTATGTACAATGCCAGCTCCACAGACTGGAGCTTTAGGGAGAAGAGGGCAGCGCTAGAGCTGGGGGTAGGGTAAGTAATCCTTTCTGTTCCTCTACCCCCTACATATAACAATAATTTAACCCTGGCAGTTCGGAGGGCCTCCACTGCAAACCTTTTCTTTTTCTAATTTCTGGAGTTTGGCATTAAAGCAGAACAAAAGGGATTAAACTTACTTTTCCAACGCTCCTCGCTGGTGCCGGCATCTTTTTCTGTGTGCCAGGTTTTGGCCATCTTCATTCGCCGGTATGGGAAGACGCCACTCCTGTGCAGGAGCCAGTCATCCCAGCACACACAGATCGGCCTGGCACAGTAAGCTGAGTTGCCCATACACAGCGCTGTTTACGGCTCCAGAGAAGACAGTGAGCAGGCAGGTAGGGGTATTTAATTACTGAAGAGACTGCATGTCTCGTCTGCAGCAAAAGCCTGCCTGCTCAATGTTTGTTATAGCGGAGCATCAGTTCCACTTTAAAGGAAACACTCGTATGTTCAGTTTGTAATTGACCCTTCTCATCCCATTATTTCTTCCCCCTATCTTTTGCATAATCTAGTCTGGAGAGATTGCCCTGTGATAGGGTGGGAGTGCAATTCTGGGGGAGTTGGGGCTCGAGTATTACCGGTCTAAGCCTCTCCTGCTTTTGGCTATCTTTAGGCTGTTTTGCGGAGTCTGGTATCTCAATATTTTGAATTTTGCCTCTCAAAAGAGTCAAGCACATGTGCGCCCTTGTCAGGTTAAACAAACCCTACAATGGTGGTTTCCAACGTCTTCCTATTCATAGTACAGCAGTAGAATGTCTCAGCAAAATTGTTGAGAACTGATTCAAACGGCATCACTAGCTAGCTTGTAAATGGTAAATATGAAATGGTAATAAGCAGGATTTCAGGTTTACTGAACTAAAAGGAAAATAAAATTTAAAGTGATACTAAAGGATAAAAATATTTGGGGGTTCAAATAAAAATGATGTTATACTTACCCACTCTCTGCAACAATATTCCACAAAAAAGTCCCTTCCCTCTTCTTCTGGTTGTTGCCTGTTAGCACTTTCCACTCTTCCCTTTTCTAGGTGCCTCCTTAGCAACTCAGTTGCTATGGAGACACCTGGGCATGGGTGCACTCCCTAGCTGGGCTGTGTGCGTCCATAGATGCACACAACGTCAGTAAGCCACACCCCAATTCCCTACTCACACGAGTTTGACTGACAGCAGTCAGAGCCTATGACTCCTGCTGCCCTTAGTGTCTCCTGTGAGACCAGGAAGAGAGAGCAATGGTGCTGCAGCTGAGACAGCACTGAAGGGGTGACAGGAGCCAGGTAAGTGTTTAGGATGGGGGTGGGTAGTACAGGTAGTTGGGTGTTTTTATCTTCATACAGGGAATGCAGTAAGGTAAAAGTTTTTTGTCTTTTAATAAACTTGAACATGATATATTTACATAAAAACTATACATTCTTTTTTGTGGATTAGTGAACAGTCCATGCACTGGCAGAAATACGATTGTGTTGTTCTTGAGAACATTTTCTTACATCAGCAAATTTCCAGCTGCAGACTGTTTTTGATCGTTTAGTATTAATGTCTTTGGACTCCTACTCCTGATGCCAGCTGATGTAAATAGCAGCAAAGTGATTTGCTGCTTCACTCAGGTCAGATTTGGTTTGTCACGACTTATACGAGCTTATATTTTCCCTGTGATATTTTTGAGTTGTGTGTTTTTTGTTTTTTTTTCCTCCTTATTACAAAGCGGTTGGAATCGGGTGATTGTGGAGAAACCCTTTGGGAAGGATTTGGAAAGTTCAAACAAGTTATCTGAGCACATCTCTTCACTCTACCAGGAGAACCAGATTTACCGTATTGACCATTATTTGGGCAAGGAGATGGTACAGAACCTCATGGTGCTCAGGTTAGATCAATTGACTTTTACTTTCTTTTAAATTGCCTACCTCTATTATTTTACTGACCATGCCTTGATGTATTTAGATTTGCCAACCGGATATTTGGGCCACTCTGGAACCGGGATCACATCGCTTCTGTGGTTTTGACATTTAAAGAACCATTTGGCACTCAGGGTCGTGGAGGATACTTCGATGAATTTGGAATTATCAGGTAATATTATCAGTGTAACAGGTACATGTATTGGTCATCCCTAGGGCTGTTATCTCATCCTTTGTGCGTCTCCACTCTCTAGAGATGTGATGCAGAATCACTTGCTACAAATGATGTGCTTGGTAGCCATGGAGAAACCGGTGTCCACCAGCTCTGATGATGTGCGAGATGAAAAGGTAATGTGCCAGTTGTTTACTGAGTTTTGTATTCTAATGAACCTCATTTTGCCATTTCCTATGCAGGTTGTCTTATAAGCTACCCACAGACATCCAGCCAACCTAATCACCCAGGTTGAACTTATTGGACAGGCTAGAAGACCTATGCTGATCGTCTGATTACTATTATTCATCTCTGTGATAGGCAGCAATAGGAGAACAAATGCTTGTAGCTCCCCCTCCCTTGGCTATGAATGTTTTGCTGAACTCAACAATCCTGCTGAGGAATATACCACATGATAGAGGCTGACCTGAAAGTGTGATTGGTAACCAGGCGGATTGGTTAGCAATCATGTGATCACCATGACTAACCAATCATGTTGATCACAGAGAGCATTCTAGAACTGCATTGTTTTCACATTTTTGCCCATCTCTTGGCTTTTCTTGACAATATATTTAGTGTATTGAAAACTAAAAAATATACAGAATTCTAGTTCTGGAAGTGCTAAAGGTACCATGTGAAAATGAGTTTAGTATACGGAGCAATTTAAAAATTGTTGAGTAAATTGATATATATTGTAAGCTCTAACGAGCAGGGCCCTCTGTTTCCTCTTGTACCAAATTGTATTGTAACTGTAATGTCTAACTTAATTTTGTAAAGTGCTGCGCAAACTGTTGGCGCTATATAAATCCTGTACAATAATAATAATATATACCAAAGCATCAAAATTTGGTCTAGTCAAGATGATTTCTGGACATAAAACGTTACTAGATTAGCTCTTGAGCGTAGGACTGATTTCTCATTTGTTATAGGTTATGTTCTGTGCATGCTCCTTGTGTGGTCAGCAGAGTGTTATTTGCAGTAAGACATTCCTAGCGGCTACATCTATGCCCAGGAGTTATTAAGGTTCCGTTCAGACAGTTGTGAGATACAGAATTCCCTGACCCATTTTTACAAATTATGCTGCACCCAGCTGCATGGTACTGTGGCACCTTGTGGTTTGGCATTTATTGTACACTTGCTGATGCTTGGGGGTGTTATCAGGGGCGTAGTTACCGCAAGGCAAACAAGACGTTTGCCTAGGGCGGCATTTTTCTGGGGGGTTGGCACCGCCCCCTGGCAGACGTGACACACGTGGAAGCTGCCGTTGACTGAGGATGGGGATCAGGCACAGCAGTGCGGGCTGCTTGAGGGTGTCTAACTCTCATTCCCAGATCAGAAGAAAGACATCGGGCTTTCCTGATCATGGCTCCTGGGGTGGTCAGCGGGTTTCATTCCGAAGGCAAGTGCTGGAAAATCAATCAATCTCTCTCCCCCAAGTAAAATACACCACTGTGTGCTATTAACAGACACCCCCATGCAAGTGTGCAGCGTGTTTTTCTCTGTGGGCCGGGAATGCGTGTGAGTTTTGTGTGCATTTCCCACCCACACTTATATGAACCTACAGTAAATACTGCTGATCAGGGACCATTAACGGTTTTATTTCTATTTAAAACCTAACTCCAAATTTCTTGTGACTTTAAAGTTCATTTGGACCAAGCTGATCCAAACAAACCTTTTGCTCCAGTAACAGATGCACCTGTTGGGAGAGATGTATGAACTGCATGTAGCATTCACTATGTTCAGTATACAGTGCTGTGTTCCAGCAGCGGGATGCCATCCTATTCCTGGACAAAATGAATTTGGGCTGAGCTCAGCCATTCACAGGAAAAATTGTATTTTATCAATGGATACTGGGCTTCCTCTGATTGGCTGAAATGGAGATTGTGACATCGCCCGCCTGTCTCCACCTAAGCCAATCAGAGAAAGTCATGTATTCATTGATGAAATACAATGCTTCCTGTGAATGACTGCACAGCACTCAGCCCAACTCAGTTTTGTTCCAGGAATGGGGCAGGAATTCCCCATCCTACTGCCAGAACAGAGCACTGTATACTGTGTGTAGCTGATGCTAAATACAGTTTATACAGCGCTCCCAGCGAGTGCACCTGTTAGTGAAGCAAATAGTTAACTTGGACCAGCAAATAGTTTAGTTAATTTGGACCAGACAAACTGTTTAGTTAATTTGGACCAGACAAACTATTTAGTTAATTTGGACCACACAAACTAGTTAATTTGGACAAACTATTTAGTTAATTTGGACCAAACAAATGATTTAGTTCATGTGGACCAGACAAGTTCATTTGGACCAGACAAACTATTTAGTTCATTTGGACCAGACAAACTATTTAGTTTATTTTCATTTGGACCACACAAACTATTTAGTTCATTTGGACCAGACAAACTATTTAGTTCATTTGGACCAGTTAGTTAATTTGGACCAGACAAACAAATTTGGACCAGACAAACTATTTAGTTCATGTGGACCAGACAAACATTTAGTTCATTTGGACCAGACAAACTATTTAGTTCATTTGGACCAGACAAACTATTTAGTTTATTTTCATTTGGACCAGACAAACTATTTAGTTCATTTGGACCAGACAAACTATTTAGTTCATTTGGACCAGACAAACTAATTAGTTAATTTGGACCAGACAAACTAATTAGTTCATTTGGACCAGACAAACTATTTAGTTCATGTGGACCAGACAAACGATTTAGTTCATTTGGACCAGACAAACTATTTAGTTCATTTGGACCAGACAAATTATTTAAAGTCAGAAGAAACCTGGAGATCGGCTTTAAATAGCAGTTTGATCTTTTTGCAGGTGAAAGTATTGAAGTGTGTTCCTGAGCTAACCCTTAGCAACATTGTTTTGGGACAATACGTTGGAAATCCGGAAGGAAAAGGTGAAGAGCTAAAAGGCTACTTGGATGATCCCACAGTACCTAAAGGATCTCTCACCCCAACTTTTGCCACCGCTGTGCTGCATGTACAGAATGAACGATGGGATGGTAAGAGGTCATTCTGTCCTGTCTATTCTGTTATTCTCTGTATATCCATTATATATGCCAGCTTGAGACTCACAGCTGGCTGACATCTTTTATACTTTATATAGGACTTTTTATATTATTCTTATGTTTACATATCCAGTAATCCAGTGCCTATAATATCTCTATACATAAAGTGATTCTGAATCCAGGTAAACTAGAATACAATGCAGTGGTTTGGTTGAAGTAGGACACTTTGCACAACTGATTGGTTGATGTGAGACACAGTTGCTCTCTTACACACTGCACACTGGACATTTTTACAGCGTCTGTTTTTGGCTTTTGCTGTTTTTTTCTACAGCCAGTCAACTCCCCAGCATGTTCGTAAATAAGTTGGTTAAAAAAACTAACACAGGAACTTAACTCACCCCAAAGGGGGAACGAAGTAGATTACCGACTCACCAACAGTAGAAGGTGGGGTCCTCTGTAACCAAGTTCAACTCCAGAAGGTTCCCTTAGGAAGAGGCTATATAAAGAGAACCAACTGCGGTATAAACAATTATACAGCTTTATTGAGATCAATTTTAATGTAAAGGCTAATTAACCGACAATCCTCCAAACACCATTAAAATAATGTAAGATAATGTTATCTCAATAAAACCAAGCAACGCACATCCACTTGCGCTAGATAAAATGTACTCTGTCTCAAATAGAGCATAACCAATCAGGCCAGCAGTCTCCAGAGTAACAGTCAATGGGTGCCGGTGTGCACAGATGTGATTCAATTGGCTACCCAAAGATTGTTTAAGAAAGTAGGCATGCTGATTTTGTTGTGTTTTACTAATATTTATGTTCTATGTTGTTGCTAAACTTTGCATGTGCATTTGTAACACGTTTTTAAAGAACCCGGATGCATATGGAAACAACAACTGTGAAATTTGATGTGTTGTCCCTATGTGACAAAAGAGAAGAACTGTAAGGAAATATGTCTTATTAACTGGCATCCATTTTGTATAATGCCTCCATTTCTAGATGTTAGAACAACTAGTTTCGTTTTTGTAGCGCCTCTCTCATTTCTGAGAATAGTTTCTATTTCACTGTAAATGGAACTACCTTATATGGTATCCCTCAGCTATTTGCTGTTTCTGTTCTTCACGTAACTATACTGATAAGAGTGGAATGTTTCATTTGTCATCCAAAGATTAAGCAACACCCACTGAGTTCTGTATGCACCCACTGAGTTTTGTATGCTGTTCTTGTCATGCTTTAAACTTTCAGAGATTTAGCATGTACACTTCGGTGTCTGGAGTTTTATTTCTCCCAGACCTGGTGGGGAAAATAACGAGGACAGGAGGCTACAGACATAGGCTGATTCCTATCAGAGAGTTGACCCAATTCTATAATAATGAATAAGCAGCAACATAGATAAATATAATGGACATCCAATTAAAAGGGACATAACCACATTGGGACCAGATGAGGGCAGTGTTGGAAGTTCAGATACCACAGAAGATGGGGTAACCCTGTTGGTAATAGAATGGTTCACTGCCAGAATAAGGTAAGGACATGCTGGCAAGGCCCATAACCTGGGCATTTGTTGGTTGGTGGGCTGAATAAGCCGGTTAAGAAGTGCTCATGTACCGACTACGCCTTTAATAGGCAGTCCTGAGGGCAGCCATAATGCTAATGGTAACAAAATGGAGTAAAATTGTGACATAGGGTATAGATGGTGACCCTTAAAGGTAGGTGAGGCCTCTGATCATCTAGTCTGAGTGATAATAAAGTACAGCACAGGTTGCGACAGCCACCACTTAGGTATGCCCGCAGGCTCCCACCACTCCAACGTGCTAATGGTACTTTCCTCTGTAGTGTCTCATCCTCCACTCGGGGGATATGGTAAGGTAAATACAGGGTGTCCTTTTGTACTGAACCATGGATAAACGGTCTCCAAACAGCGGCCAAAGGTCATGCTGCCATGAGGTGCTCAATGTAGAGATCCATGTGTAGAAAGCTGCGCGGGTATTTCCGCCATCCCTGATATTTGCATTGGGCGGCATGGAGATTTGTCGCAGGTAGAGGCGTGGCCCAGAGCTTGTTGATGCTGCCTACGTCAAAACTGGACATAGATACTTAAAGCCTCCACAACAGTGTTCAGTGGAGAAAAGGCAACATAAACTCAAAAGGAGGAAAAAAAAAAGAAGAAAAATGCAGCGCAGAGATACACAGTTAAAGGAATAGAAAGAGGAGGAGAGAGGAAGAGGGTGAGAGAAGAAAAGAATAAAGGGAAGGAGGAAGAGGGTACAGGAAAGAGAGGATAAATGGAAAAGAAAAATAAAAGAAGGGGAGTTCATGGTTCGAGGAACACCTTTTAAACTCATTTTGTTATTAAGTCCTAAAGGGATCAAGATTTTAAGTTTGAAAATCCAACTTTTTTCAACTTGTTTCTTTACTCAATAACACAGTATTAAAATCACCCCTCCTATGGGATAGTTTAAGGGCATAGAAGCCCTTGACCCTCAAGCCAGTTGTTTGACCTCCATGGAACTATATGTTATTCATCTATGTTGCTGCTGATAACCATTGAATCGGGTCAACTCTCCAGACTACAGTCACTATATCCTTCCTCGTATCTGCGATTTGGGTAGCCAATTGAACCACATCTGTGCACACCGGCACTCATTGACTGTTACTCTGGAGACTGCTGGCCTGATTGGTTATGCTGTATTTGAGACAGAGTACATGTTATCTAGCGTATGTAAGTGGGTGTGCGTTGCTTGGTTTTATTAAGGAGATAACATTCTCTTACCTTATTTAATGGTGTTTGGAGGATTGTCGGCTAATTAGCCTTTACATTAAAATTGATCTCAATAAAGCTGTATAATTGTTTATACTGCAGTTGGTTATCATATATATATATATATATATATCTCCTCTTCCTAAGGGAACCTTCTTGGTCCCCAGCATGTTATCCTATGTGTCCATGCACACATAGACTGTAATCAGCGTTTTTTTTGTCGGGGGCATTTTTTGGTTGGAAAAAAACCCCAGAGCTAGTGGGTTTTTAGAGGAGTTTTTTAGCTATAAAAACACTCTAACACTGAAAAACACGGTAAAACACAGCAAACCAGCGTTTTTGGACTTTTTTTGAGGAAAAAATATATTTTTTTCTTTTAGGTAAAAAAAAACGCTAAAAAATGCAAACGCAGAAAAAAAGCTGCTAAACGCTAATGCAAAAATGCTTAAAAACAGCAGAAAACCTTTTTGTTTACATGACTTTACACCGCTAATGCTACCAGCGTTATTAAAACGCCCAATGTGCATGGAGCCTTATTTTAAATATCACAAGCTGTGTTCAGATGTGGAGCACTCAGGTGTGATTGTCTCCATCCAGGTGTCCCATTCATCATGCGCTGTGGGAAGGCTCTGAATGAGAGGAAGGCCGAGGTGAGGCTGCAGTTCCGAGATGTTCCAGGTGACATTTTCCAAGGGCAATCTAAGAGGAATGAGTTGGTGATACGAGTACAGCCTGATGAAGCTGTTTACACCAAGATGATGACCAAGAAGCCAGGGATGTTCTTTAATCCAGAGGAGTCCGAGCTGGACCTTACATATGGGAACAGATACAAGGTATCTGCAACACGTGTGGAGAACAGGTCATGGGAGGTGGTGGTAATTAGCGGGGCTCCTTTGATGAGAAAAAAAAATAGCATAATATTTATGTTGCCCATAGTAACATTTTATTTCTGTCTGCTTCCCTCTTTAGCTAGTACTACATGCAGACACAATGAGAGTTGATTTTCTGGTTGAACAAGCCATAGAACCCACGAGGAATATGTGAAGACGTTGACCCCAAATATAATTTAGTTTTGGTTCACACCAAATGCAATTTGATCCCATTTAAAGCGCTACTTCAAAGTAGCGCTGATTTTAGACAGAGGTGCTATTTACCTTTTTATAGTGTATGAGTTAAGTTGCACTGAACTGGTGAAAAAGTAACGCAGGAACTATTTTTCAAATCGTGCTACTTGAAATCAAAAAACACATGACTTCAGTAGTAATTTGTATATCGCATGTCGCACCTGAAGTTGCAGCAGTGTGATCCAGGGCTAAAGGCTTCGCATTAATCATCAGTTATACAAGAGGATTACTGTTTGAACGTGTTACCATGTTATTGCTTTTAGTGGAATTGTTGTTTTGTCTCTGGTGCTCTTACAGGATGTGAAGTTGCCAGATGCGTATGAGAGGCTAATCCTGGATGTGTTCTGTGGGAGTCAGATGCACTTTGTGCGCAGGTAGGTCCCTGTCTGTATGACAGAGAGGTAGGTGGATGTCTCTATTCCCGTATTTGTAACTGTTTTTGTCTCTTTATTCTAGTGATGAGCTGAGGGAAGCCTGGAGAATCTTTACTCCTATTCTGCACAAACTGGAGCAAGAGAAGATCAAACCCCTGCCTTACACATATGGAAGGTGAGTACTCCAAGCTATTAAGCACTTCCTGTTGGCCATATGCATATATGCAGCCTCTTGGCAGGTGGGCTTTAATGCTGAGCAGCTGCATACAGTTGTGTTCAAATTAGTAGCAGTCAGACATCACTAACCTGATCAATCACTGTGTTTTGGTAGAAATGATATTTCTACATGGCAAATAATTTACTAGCAGGTGTAGTAGAGTAATAGAAATCCAACAGACCCAACAGTCATGACATGCATGCTGCTGATTCTGTGTAATTGAATCACTAATTGAAAGGGGCATGTTCAAAATAATAGCAATGTGGAGTTCTATTAGTGAGGTCATTCATTCTTTGAAAAACAGGTGGCAATTATTGCCCTTATTTAAAGAAGGAAGGCAGCAAATGTTGTACATGCTGGTTACAATGCATTTCTCTCTGAAATTCTGAGGAAAATGGGTCGTTCCAGACATTGTTCAGAAGAACAGCGTACCTTGATTAAAAAGTTGATTGGAGAGGGGAAAACATATAAAGAAGTGCAGAAAATTATCGGCTGATCAGCTAAAATGATCGCAAATGCTTTAAAATGGCAACCAAAACCTGAAAGACGTGGAAGAAAGCGAAAAAACTACCATTCGAATGGATAGAAGAATAGCCAAAATGGCAAGGACTCAGCCAACAATCAGCTCCAGGAAGATCAAAGAAGGTCTAAAGTTCCCTGTGAGTACTGTTACAATTAGAAGACGCCTATGTGAAGCCAAGCTATCTGCAAGAAGCCCCCGCAAAGTCCCACTGTTGAAAAAAAGACATGTGCTGAAGAGGTTACAATTTGCCAAAGAGCACATTGACTGGCCTAAAGAAAAATGGTGTAACATTTTGTGGACTGATGAAAGTAAGATTGTTCTTTTTGGGTCTAGTGGCCGGAGACAGTTTGTCAGACGACCCCCAAACACTGAATTCAAGCCACAGTACACTGTGAAGACAGTGAAGCATGGTGGTGCAAGCATCGTGATATGGGGATGTTTCTCATACTACGGTGTTGGGCCTATTTATCGCATACCAGGGATCAGGGATCAGTTTGAATACATCAGAATACTTGAAGAGGTCATGCTGCCTTATGCTGAAGAGGAAATGCCCTTGAAATGGGTGTTCCAACAAGACAACGACCCCAAACTCACCAGTAAACGTGCAACATCTTGTTTCCAGACCAGATTGACGTTATGGAGTGGTCAGCCCAATCCCCGGATCTTAATCCAATAGAAAACTTGTGGGGTGACATCAAAAATGCAGTTTCTGAGGCAAAACCAAGAAATAGAGAAGAACTGTGGAATGTAGTCCAGTCATCCTGGGCTGGAATACCTGTTCACAGGTGCCAGAAGTTGGTTGACTCCATGCAACACACATGTACAGCAGTTCTCAGAAACCGTGCGACTACAACCAAATATTCATTAAGTGATTCAAAGGAAAGCAAAATCTTCAAACTTTTTTCAGTTTATATAGTGAATGTTTGTTTGAGTTTGTAAAGAATATTCACTTTTCTTCAAATTTTTTAGAGGAACAACACAAATCTAATATATTTTTCTTCATGTTTTGATTTGGAATAGAATGTGTAGTGTTTCCAATGCATTTTTGTGTATGGAAATAAAAGCTATTAGCACTGTGCTGAGAGCGTGCTCCCCGTGCGCTCCCAGCACAGCAACAACCGGTACTAAAAAGCTCTCAATGCATACATGCGATCAGGAGATTTCCGATCATGTGACTGCCAATCATAGTGGGCACATGTTCCGAATACCCACCATCGCCTCCTAGCCCCTTACCAGGAGGAGGAGGCCAGCATTCCAAAGGGATTATTTACATAAAAGAGAACAAATTAGCCTTCTAAAAAGAAAACCTTTTGCCACTTTTTTGTTTAACCATTAGCCGCCCGGCCAATGGCCGTTTGGCGGCTTCAAATGTGTCCCTGCATCCCGGGTGCACGCCATTTGGCGTGCTCCCGCACATGCGCTGTTTGCGCTAATGCAGAGCGGCGCAGCAGTGCGATCTGTCACCGGCCGTGCACCTCGGACACGGCCGATGACAGATCCGAGTACCGGCTCCCGTTGCTGGTACCATGTGACCTGCTGTGACCAATCACAGCAGGTCACATGACAGTTGTATACAATGGATGCTTCATTCATGATGCCATCCATTGTATACTAGTGCCTAGCTGTGAATGGTCACAGCTAATCACATGCACATGTCATGTGATTAGCTGTGACCAAATCACAGCTAAGCACAAAAAAAAAAAAAAAAAAAAAAAAGCTGAATGAATCGTTTTCATTCAGGTAAATGCTTGCTTATAGCAAAGTAATTCTTTGCTATAAGCAAATTGTGTAAAAAAAAAAAAAAAAAAAAACTGATCACTTCCCCAAAGTAGTACAATGTTACTATGGTAACATTGTACTACTTTGGTCATAGTAAAATATGAAAAAAAAAAAATCTTAAAAAAAATGTAATAAAAAATTAAATATAATAAAAAAAATATAAAAAAAAAATATATATATATATTTTTTTTTCATATTGTCACCAGTCAGTGTCCCTGTTCACCGCCATGCCAGTTATATGATGACGCTGTACTGCACTGGTGACAAAAAAAAATAGTGAAAATTATTTTTTTAATTTTTTTATTTTCCGAAAAAATTATGACAAAAAAATACAACTTCAAAAAACTCACCATGCCTCTTATGAAGTACGTCGGACTGTCTACTCTGCAAAAAGTGGTCATTTGGGGATATCTGTACTATTCTGACATTCTTGGACCTCAAGAAATTAGATTGGCTGTCAGTACTTCAGGATTGATCAATATTCAGATCTATACCATAGTTTGTGAACTCTATAACTTTCCTACAACTAAAAAATACATCCTAATTTGGGTTATTTTCACCAAAGACATGTAGCAGAATACATCTCGGCCTAAATTTATGAAGAACAATTATTTATTTGTAAACTTTTATAACAGAAACAAAGAAAAATGTGGGGGTTTTTTTTCAACATTTTTGGTCTTTTTTTGTTAATTTAGCAAAAAATAAAAACCCCAGCGGTGATTAAATACCACCAAAAGAAAGCTCTAGTTGTGTGAAGAAAATGATAAAATTTTAGTTTGGGTACAGTGTTGTATGACCGCGCAATTGTCATTCAAAGTGTGAGAGCGCTGAAACCTGAAAAATGGCCTGGGCAGGAAGGTGTAAAATTGCACGGTATTGAAACGGTTAAAGTGCAGCTGTACTCTGGAAGGTTAATATTGTTGTCTGTGTCCCTGTTATTCATGCTCTATTTGTCCTGTTGACCACTGTTACCAAGACAGAAAGTGAGCAGAATTTCAAACTGACTTGTCACCAGAGTAGGAAGTGAGGTAAAATCCTCCAATGGGGACACCTGTTCCTGTGACAACTCACTAAGATGGGAATTCCATTCACTTTTGAGAGATTTCCTGATACATCTCTGGGGCTTTAAGTGAAAGGAAATTGTTCAAGCAGCGCTCAGGCAAAAATAACCTGATAAGGGGGTCTTATTTCTAAAAAAAATAACTGTATAGTTGTTTCAGCTTTAAATAGCTGTTGTCTCACAGTAAACTCTTTTTGTTTGCTGAAAGGCTTCCCTCTCAGGGGGCAGTATTTTGGGAGTTTCATTCATCTTTGGGGTGTATTGTTTTTTTATTGTTGGTAGGGCCTTTTTTTTTTTTTTTTTTTTTTTTTTCTCTTCCTTAAAAAAGAAAAAAAAAGTATGCGTTAGTTTATGGAGTAGTGTTTTGGATTCTCATTTTTTTATTTTATGCTGATACAGCCTTTTTAACATTTGGGGTGAGCTCACACTCAAACTGAGATGTAGTAATTTCTATCCTTTCCTTAAACAAAAGCCTGCGTGATGGCAGGCAGATAGCTTGGGTCCAGCATGTCAAGAAGTGTGTTCTTCAGAGACCCACATCCCTCTGCTTTACAAGAGCTAGGATCCTGCTAGTCACATACTACTGATACAGATTACTTTACTGTTCTGGCCAGTTGTGGCAAGAGGAGGAAGTCAACATAGGAAGAATCACCCTTACCTTTCCTATTATCACACTGGATCTGACCATTTGATCTTGGTAAAAGTGGAACTTACTTAGGACTCCTTAATGAAGTGATTAAAGACCATCTGTAATATTTGTGTAAATGCTTGCAATGTAACAGCTGACCTGGAGAGGAATTTTGTTCTTCATTATGGGAGCCAGATAGAGCCAGGGAACTAGCATTCTTAGGGCTCATGTATACTGCAGCTCCTAAACTGACGTTCAGGAGCTGTTCAGTGTTTTTTTCCGCAGCCCCTGAACTCTCCCTAATGTTTTCCTATGTGTCCATGTACACATCGTCGTTTACAAGCAGTTGAGTTTACAGTCGTTTTTTTGAACGTACCAAACTTGCGTTCAGGAGTAGAATTTACTAGCGTTTCAAATGTCAAACGATCTAAACGCGATTAACCGTTTTTATAAGCATTTGCGTTTAGAAGTGTTTTTTAACTGTTCCATGTCCAGATGCTGTCCAGAGCCTTTTTTCATCATCAGAAATGCATGCAAATCGTTTTCCATGTATTCAAATGGACCTAGTACACCAGCGCAGTCAGTTCCAGGTTTTGCGTGAAGGAAAAAAATGGTAGAACACGCCTCATTATGCTCATGATGGGATCCATAATGAATACAACCAAAAAAGACAGGTCATCTCAACACATACTGCTCTCTCTGCTTCTGCTCTCTCTATTCCTCTCAAAATGTCTGAAATAGTAATTTTGTACTATTTTTCAGTGCATTCTGAGCATTTGGGAAGGTCTCCTGAGGTTATCTTTTAAGAACGCTTCTAAACGCAAACACACATAAACGCGGTATGCAAATGCAGCTAAACTGACAGTTTTTAACCTACGTTTTCCAGCAGTCCGTTTCCATCGTTCAGAAGAGTTTTCCAAATGTCCCGTGTACATGAGCCCTTAGAGTTCTGCTGTGGTTGTTCCGTCATTTCTTTAAGAGACAAACCCTGTTATACTAGATATGGGAATGGGGGGTTGAGTTGCTGTGACCAGAGTGCAGAATACAATCATTGGTGGTAAGCTTAAATGTGATTTGTTTGAAGGCTTCTAGCGGAAAAAGCTGTATATTGTATGTTACATGTTCTATATCCTTAGAACTCTACCGCAGCACTTTTAGATATGGTTTACTTCCATGATGTCTGTCCTCTCCGATTCTGACCCTGTTTCGTTTCAGCCGGGGCCCCGCAGAGAGCGACGTGTTGATGCAGAACGTTGGCTTCCGGTATGAAGGAACATACAAATGGGTGAATCCACACAAACTGTGACCCACCTCCCTGAAGAGTTCAGAGCCAGAAACAATCTGAAGACTTACCGGCACAATAGATCACAACCTCGGGAATCCCAGGGGACCAAAGCACAACTTTTCCTGTACCGACTTCTTGGCTTACACCCCACTCTTCATACATTGTGAACTGTCACTATTCAGCAATACAGAATAGCTGTGCTTTAACAAGTTTACATTTCATCACTCTCCGTATTTCTTCTCCTAAATTGTATGTATAGCCATTTTCTTGGTTTTGGATACAAGAAGGCTTAGAATCCCCATTCAAGTTTTTATTGCTGTCTGTATCTCTGCAGCGTAGATTCTTCTCAATTTGTCTAGTTGACCATTGTCAAGAGAGAACATTCCACATTTTTACGGTCCTTGGCAAATGAAGCAAGAGGAAATCTTCCAGTGAGGATACCGATTTATTAGATATTGTCCAAAAGGGGAATTAGTCTTACTTTGGACTTCCTGTTGCATCTAAGGAAGTGAAAGTAAATGTCCCTAATGAGACACAAGACAGGTATTTAAACTGATTGGGGTTTAACAATTCTCTAATCTATACTGAAAAGAAAAGTTTTCAGTATACATACACTAAAGTGTAAGTTCACCATTTTACAAAAAGCCCCCTGTGCAATTCCAGATCTCCTGAATGGTACATACCATCACTCTACATGTAGCACCTGCTTTCCATTACATATGTAGCTGCGGGGAGTCTTAGCAGAAATTGCCGGACCCCTCAATCCTCCTCTGTCGTATCATTTGAAGGACAGGCTGGACACTACCAGAGTAACCCTTGCAGCTGCCCAGTTGCGTTTGTAAACTGTGTGCATGCACAGTGCACTCTCTCCTTTTCTAGCTACAGTGACTAGGTACTATACAGGGGGTCTGGAATGACACAGGGGGCTTTTTGTGACATGCTGCAACTTACACTTTAATGGCCCATTTACATAGACACGGCGTGACATAAGTTTAAGGAGTACTGAGCAACATTAGGGCCTGGGTCAACAAACTGTTGTTTGCTTTAACTGGATTTTGCATTCAAATTAAATTCTATGGAAATGTAAAACCTGTTTTGAAGCAGGTCAGGAAAAGATTAATTACAGATCAAATGCATCTGTCAATGAATTCTGAATAATCTCTGAAGCATCTCCTGTGGTCAAACTGATGCCATTGACAAAAGTCCAAATCCCATAGGTCTTTAGCATGTATGCAAATTATACCAACTCATCTGTACTGTGTACAAGGTATGTCATTCCCATGCAGTTCAGAAGACCTAGGTAGACACAGGAAGGCCCTCCACACCATGCAGACTGTCAGCACGACTAGAGCTGTAATACTAGGCTCTCAACCACATCAGATTTATGTGCCAGTTGCAGCAAGAATATAGTGTATTCGTATGGCTGAATTCACAGACAGATGCATAAAGTTGCTGACACCAGTTGTACCTGCCTGTGAGTATTTGGATGTAATTGCACATGAAGTGATTACCCGTGGTTGGGTGCAGATGATCGCACCTGGATGCAAACAGCTTGAATGCGAATGAGGTCTAAGTCACACTGTTTAAGAGTGCAGGTACCCAGTGGTGCCTGCCCATGCCTGCAGCAGCTCTCTGTATACAGAGGGTGAGATTTGCTAAAACTGGAGAGTGTAAAATCTGGTTCCGCTCTGCACAGAAACCAATCAGCTTCCAGGATTTATTGTCAGTCTAATTGAACAAGCTGAAGTTAGAAGCTGATTGGCTACCATGCACAGCTGCACCAGATTCTGAGTGCTCCAGTTTTAGTAAATCTCCCCCAGTCTCTCCTAAAAATAGTGTGACTTCACATTCTTCACCTGAATGCCAGGCAATTGTAATTGGGCAAAGCTTCAGCACTTACTTGTCCGCCCCCTTCTGCCTTCTACACATTCCTAGTGGTCAGTGAGGCAAGCCATCATAGTGATTGATGGGCCAATAAAAATGAGGTGTGATGTAGTGGCGAGCTCTGACACTACCCATACATTTTGGAGATTTGCTTGATTCTCACTGTCCACAATTCAGGTGGAGCCGAGGATATGGAAAGCTTTTGCATTTCTGGGTACCTGCTCTTTATACCGAATAGTGAAAGCTGTGGACAGGTTTAATTACAGTCTCTTTACAAGGCATATGCACCATAGGACTGTATAGGTATATATTATCTGCTAATGCCCAATAGTACTGTCAGTTTTTTGGGGTATCAAGCTGTAGCTGTGTCTGGGACCTACTACTCTGGTGTAGATCCTCTAAAACTAGAGCACACAGAATCTGGTGCAGCTGTCCATAGAAACCAATCGGCTTCTAACTTCAGCTTGTTCAGTTAAGCTTTGACAATAAAACCATGAAGCTGATTGGTTTCTATGCAGAGCTGCACCAGATTCCGTGTGCACCAGTTTTAGTAAATCTTCCCCTCTGTCTCACTCCTTCCCAGACCTAGAATCACAAGTAATGCTGTTTAGAATTGTGCTTAAATATTAGCCTCATTTACAGGTTTAGATGGTTACAGGATTGTTGCAATGTTTACGTGCTTATTTTTCCTTTTATTTTGATATGTCTGAATTAGTAAATACTTTACTGCACACAGGCTTTTGTCGTCTTTTCCTTTCTGCACACCCTAAAGTGCACCTCTACCATAGGGAATGTATAGTGGTTTGTACAAACATGTTTATTGTGGTCAGGGCTGAATTTTTATAAAATTTGAGGGTGGGGGTGCTATTAAGAAAATATTGTCACCTGCACATATCTGCAGAAGGCAATGCATTTCCATGCGGTTCGGGAAATGTGCAAAAAAGTGCAGGCACTTTTTTTTTTTTTTTTTTCTTTTCAACATCGTGCCACACCAAACAGCATAGCAAATGCATTTTGGCAGCTGCGTTTTCTAGATGCATGGGGGTGCCATTAAGAAATAATGGCACACTCACGCATCTGCAGAAGGCAGCGCATTTCTGTATGTATTGCATGGAGCACGAACAAGCCCTTAGTCAGTGCTGTTGCTTTCTGACCTAAAGTATCCACAGTCATTTTACCTGTTATTTGTATGCCGATCGCTCCTGATTTTTGTGCTGCACCCCTGAAACAAGCCCTGTGCTGGATCATCCTGTCATTCGTTCTCCAGATGAAGTTGTAATGCCAGGTAAAGGAGGATTCAGTGGGTCAGATGGAAGGACGCTGCATGCTAATGGGCCAATGAGGTATCGGGTCAGGGCAAGAAACCGTGCATGCGTGACTCGAGAGATTCCTGCTGCCAATCAGTGTGCTTCAGAGAGGCAGCACTATCCTTAGTCAGGACTGAATAAAGGTGGAAACACAGAAAGTAAGCTCCCTGGAAAGCAAAAGTGCTGATTCGTGGTGGACATATTGTTTATCTTAAAGCAGAACTTCACTCTCGCAATCAGCATTGACTATTTTTAATCCTTATGCTGCTAGCATTAGTAAATAGATAGGAAAGTATATTCTATTTACTTGTTTTAAATTTTTTTTTTTTTTTACATTTTCAGTGACTTTCTGGTTTCCATGCCTAGGCAAATAATGTCATACATCCCAGAAATCTTCAGGAGGAGAGGAGGGGCTTTGTCAGCTAAGGCAGATGGATTTCAGATTCCAGGAAGTAAATTAATCTGCCCTTAAAGTGTTACTAAACCCCGGACCCTGTATCCACTATATCTGGTCTCCCACAGTACACGGAAGATGGAAATTCAATTATTTTAGTAAATATAAACTGCTAAATACTTTTTCTCATCAGAAGTCAGAGCAGTCTTGTGGCTTCAGCAAAGCATTAGCTAAAGCTTGTAGGAGGACTTTCTTTCTGCTCAAGGAGGATGCAGAACCCCTGACCTCTGTCTGACCAGTGCTGATTGGCCCTGTGCTGATCACCCCTGTGCTGATCACATGCACTCTTCCAAGAATTAAAAAAAAAAACCTCTCTAGCAATATACACCAAACTGAGCATGTGCAAATGCCTACGGTTCAGTCTGCCTTATCAGTACATAAGAGGTGGTCGCTTGAAAATGGGGAGGAACAGAGAAGGGATCAAATGGCCTTTTTACTCAATGCATAGGACTAACCCTTAGGCTCCAGAGTGAGTATATCAAGCATGCTTTACTGCATATACAGACCGATTTTACTATTGTGGATTTAGTAACACTTTAAGATGGCCGCAGCCAGAAATGCTAGAGGGGTGTTTTTCAAAAGCGATTTCTCAGCAAAATAAAGCATGGAGACATAGATGAATGGGGAATTTGCTTTGAATATTAAAAATAAATAGTGTTTATGGTTTGTGCTGCTTAGATACAGTGTAGTTCCTTTTAAAAAGCTCAAAACTTGAGTGCAGGAATGTCCTTCAGGTGTTTTTTTTTTTTTTTTTTTTTATAATGGCTATTTCATGATAATTAGGGGTATCAGATCTGGGGATTGCAAGAGCTACCATAATCCTTTAGAGAATAGAATGTTTTACTCTAAATTCTGCAATGCTTTAATTAGAATAAAAATGTACCCAAAAATACTTTATTTATGCTTTCAATTCAGTAATCTCCTTGCTTCTCTCTGCTAGAAAGCTAACATCCTTTAAAACTACTTACTTTTTAGCAGTCATAGCGGTTTCCATGTAGTGATGAGCTGATTCTTTCTGGGATACCTGCGTATCCAAGACAATGTTGGGTGTTCAGGCAGAAGCAGCCAATCGGTATCGCTTCTTCCTACAGATCCCACCCTGTACAGCAACTGTGATCAGCACATATGACCCCACCAGTACCTAGAAGAAGCCCCAGCTTGCTAAAAAGTGTCTCTGAAATGTTAAAGTCACCACAAGTGTTTCCATTAGGCCTTCTCATGGGGCGGATCAGCTCACAAATCCCTGCTGATTAGAGCAGAGACAGTGGATGATACATCCATGTACGCTCAGTTTCTGCAGAGCGGCTATGGACGGAGCCTGCTCTGCTCTTTGGGCGGCCAGGAGTAAATGGACTCCACTGTCTGTTTACTCCCAA